GACTCGGGCTAGAAATTGAACACAAGTCTTTTCATTCATCTGGTACAGCAACCCTTTTTAGGGGATCCATAGCATCAGGCTATTGAGCATGTCCTATATTTTCACCTATTATTCAACTAACAAGATAAAAAACCTTCTTAATACCAGCTAACAAGTAATTAACAAGTAATAAGAACAAATAAAACATTTATCTTGTGAACACAATCCACACCGAAAAGTAGCAGAACAAAATACCATTAGTGACTGGTTATAACCTTAAAAGAACTAAAATCTAAACACACATAATGGGAGGGCAACTTCATAGGGAAGAAGGCATTTCTTTTAAGCTATATGCTTCCATACATAAAGGAGTTTGGAAGTTTAAGCCAGCATATTGACTATATTTGTCAAACTGAATGTTATTTCATCTAGACAGATAATGGTGGCCACTCTCTTCTACATGTCCAGTTCACCTTTCCTTGATGTTGCTTATGCTCTGTTAACTCAGCTTATTTTCAGTTAACACAACCAATCTATACAGATGCACCCAGATTGCGTTTTAACCATGCGGAAGCCTTCTCATTTTAAAACTTTCTGTTCAGGCTACTGTCAAATAAGTGTATATACAGCAGCAACAGATGATAAATGCAGCTGGCCTCCAATGCTATTAGGGAGGCTAAACATGTCAGTTCAGTTTAGACTTACATCTTGTGTTAAACCAAAAGGCTTCCATCTGAGTTATATTTTACCTCCAGATACCATTTTGTGAGTAAGTGAAGACAATGTGAAGACAATGATGGCATTAGAAAGAAAACTCTGGGCAAACAGAATATAGGAATGCTCATTCTTCCTTGATGTCATTTTATTTTATATAAGTTGTATATACTTTTATTTACTATATATTTTTTATATAAAATCTAAAATATACATTCTTCTTGTAGAACCCCAACATAAGACTCTTGCAATGGCTCACACAAAAATACTAGAATAGGCACATGAAATTTCACTTGCAGAAATCAAGAACACAGTCAGCCATATGCTCACGAGGCATTTTAGACTACTACTCCCATAAGCCCAAACCAGAAAGGGAAATGAGAAGGTGTAATAGGAGGTATACTCTAAAACATCTAGGGATGGGCCACCAATCTGGTGCCATGGGATTTCCTTTGCCAACAAACAGTTTCCCTGTCCCACCTGGCTTATGTTAGTCACTTTTTACTGAAAACACTGGAGCTGCCATATTGCAAAGCAAAGAATGAACATACAGCATTAGATTTACAGGTAGTCCACACTTAGTGACCACAGTTGGGACCAACAACTCGGTCACTAAACGCTGCTCTTGCTAAGCAGAAAATCACATGACCACAACTTATGTAATATTACATAATATTATGTAAATATGTTTTATGATTTTACTTCTGCCTTCTCTATTAACTCTGCTTGTTGCAAATCAGTTGCAAAGCATGTGAATGGTGATCACATGACCGTGGGACACTGCAACAGTCATAAACGGGTGCTGGTTGTGAAGCACACAAATGACAATCATGTGACCACAGGACGCTATGATGGTTGCAATGGCAAGGATTGGTTGCAAAGTTATTTTTTTAGCACCACTGTAACTTTGAATGGTCACTGTACAAAGCAGTTAGCAAGCAAGGACTACCTGTATTTCAAATAATGCCTCTTAGCTTTGTATTTACAAAAAATATCATGAGAAAATAAAAATGATGGGCATTGAAGCTCAATGTTTTTATATGATGTATGATAACCAGCCCAGAGAACAACGGCAATCGTAAGTTGACACTAGCACATTGGGAAAATATATCAGTTTGCCTTCCAGTAAGTGTTTTATATTTTATGATGGCTATATTTACTTTGGTAGGCATTCTATAACAGCATCAGCAATGTGGTTTCAACATTCAAAAATATGCCCATTTGTATATTTCAAATTTAGAACACTGGACTAGGAAAGGTAACGGATTGTTCCACTATAAACAACCATCTAACTGAAGCATTCCTCTTAACATCCTTCAGAATTTGGAGATATTCTTCAAGTATTTTCCTTCTTTTTCCCAAATGTCTCTTGGCCATCTCCTTCATCCCCCACCAAGAATGTCTTCGGGTTATGACCATTCATTCAGCGACCATTCAAGGTTATGATGGGGCTGAATGAATGATACTTACAGCAGATTCTCACAGTTCCAGCCATTGGAGCATCCCTACAGTCAGCGCCCGGCTCACAATTACGCTGCAGCCAGTTGCAGTCATTTGATCACAATTTCCAATGTTCCCTGCCAGCTTCTCACAAGCAAAGTCAATGGGGAAGCCAGCAGGAAGTAAGAAATTGTGATCACTTAAGGTCCTTGCTTAACAACGGCAACCAGGACTGCTGGAATTGCCATTGCTAAGCAATGCAGTCACATGACATAGCACTTTATGACATTGCTTAGCAATGGAAATTCCAGTCCCAATTGCCATCATAACCCAACAACTGCCTGTATCTTCTTCTCTCTCTCTCTCTTTCACTTGTCCACAGTACATCACTTTTGATCACTGAAATGAACAGTAGTCAATGGCTTATGTAGGACATAGGACACTGCTTTATACAAGATTACTTGGCCTATACTTGTATCATGAGTGACAGCAGCTCTCTGTGATTCAAGCAGAGAACTTTTACATCAACAGATGCCAGTTACATTTTTGACTGGAGATGCTTTGGATGAACTTGGGATCTTCTGCATGCAAATAAGGCTCTCTATACTGAAATATATTCCCTCCCTATTAAGTAAAAATAATACATTAAGACATACAACTGGTATGAAAGCCAATAGTTATTCTGCCTCAAATAACTTTAATAAATCCAGTTTATTCCTTCTTGCATATTTCCAATTTCTTGATCACGCTAAACTAGCTTTCATGAGACACAATTTATGAATTTGTCCTCCAATTTTTTTTCTCACATACTGGCTTCTGTTTTTCTAGTTCTTAGGGTGCTTTAGTTTTTATTTTTGTATAGTTTTTTGAGTAATATTATTGTTACAAAATAGTGGAGGACTGTAGTGATTTTTCTCCCCCATTTCTTGCCTCTCCATTTTTTCTACAACCTCATGGGCTATCCCTGATTCTTTGTCTGAAATAATCTCATGGAAAGAATTCTTTCATAATGGCTTCCCTTGGTGTTTAAGTGAAGACAGAAAGATGCAGATTGTGGAAAGATGATTGTGCAAAGAAAACAAAATGCTCACACAAACCTTGGACACTTTCTAACTAAGGTAAGTGCAAGAACTCAGTATCCTGCTACTGAGAATTTAATCAAAATATTGTTATCCTTTAAGAAAAAATCTGAAAGCCATTTATTTTCCATTAAATTAAATGAGAATGATTGAAAGAATGCAGAATTTTCAACACAGTATTAACATATACAGGCCCATCTTATTTTATAGGCACTTCTATAATATATAATATAAACATTTTTAGATATAAATTCAACTTTGGGTTGTATTCAAATTAATGGGTGCTCTAACACTTCAGTTCTAAAAAACCAAGAATGAAAATAAAAGGGATGGAAAAGTCTTAATATTTCACTGTGTTTTCTTTATCTTTCAGTTCATCTGGTTTTATATAAGCTCATCCTGGTGAGCCATTATATTTTCTTTATTAGTGTGATGAATGAATTATTGATTCCTGTTTGCACATCTCTGCATTACAACAATAAACAGCTTATTTAACAATTAGTCAAGAAATGTAGTGTATTTAGGAAAAGATTATTTATTTTTTGCTTATCAGTTGAGCCAGCAAGAGCTGATTTTCAGGCTCCTGAGAGTGAAATATTGTTGGTTAAGAGCTTCAGGAATGTCTAGGCTTGATTTAATGAAGTTTGATTGCTCTACACACAGTACATGTGTTTACCTCCAGATTGTGTTAAAGAGCAGTCACCAGGGTTTCTCTCTCTCTCCCTCTCTCTTTTTTTTTTTCTTTTTGCTTCTCTGGCATTTCAAATAAACAAAAGAGAAAAAAAATAGAACTTCCATTGGCTCACTTTGTTTTTTTTAATGCCCTGCAGATTTTTTTTTTAAAATTTAAAAAATGCTATAAAACAAAACATTATTCTGAGACTTTAAAAGGCAGAAAAATCCACTGGGTTAAAGTTTTGAAGGGCTTGTTTTAGAATACATACAAAGGACATACCGGGGCTGGATTCTGACTGCTACAAAATAACGTGGAACTATTTTTTCCTGCGAATTGGAAACTATTATGTTGATACAGCCTAAAATTACCGTTGTCTTTTGTGCAGTCAAAACCCTGCTGACTCTTACCTTGTTTGTAATCAAGTACTATTTTAAAGATCTTTTTCAACATGCATTACTGACCAAAGAAAAGAATAAATCAAATGCAAGCTACTAGGATTTTGCGTTGTCTTCTAGTTTTATTACTGTTCTTGCTTAGGGTGACCTAGCTGAAGAGCATGGAAGAAGAGCAGGGCTAACAGAATTTTGAGATTCAGCAATGAGCCCACTTGGACGTTATGGGCCTTGGTAAAAGTCTGATCATCTTAATCCCCTATGCTGGTACCTGCCTTGGTAAGAGCTGAATTGGGCTGTAAAGAACATGGCTTAGTGAACATGCTGGCCATCAGCATTCCTTTCATGGCTCCAAAGTGGATGAGACCAAATAACTTGGCCTTTCTTGCATGGGGGAGGGGGACCAGAAGATTTGAAGGGGCAAAATAGTTGCCCTAAATCTTGCAGATGCTTCAGACATTCATTTTATCCCTTAAAGTTCCTGAACCCCCTGGCTTTTGGAGTATAGCCCCCAGCAGGTTTTAAAAACCTGGACTAGCCCTTGAACCACTAAAAGTTCCTTACCTCTGATCTAAGACTAGGGCACTTTTTCAGTGGCAATGCTTATTAGCAGGCTGTTTTTTTTTAAATGTACACACACACACACAACTAAACCCCCAAAACTCTTATATGATTGAACATTAACTAAATGATGCATCAATGAATAAAAAGAAACCTTACCCATACAAGCAATAAAAGGTTTCTTTTCACTGTTCCACAATATCCCAGCATTCCAATAATGATAAGGAAACAGCAAACTGCAATCATGACTGGATGGACAACTGGAAAATAAGTAGACACAACTGCCTCCTCCACTCTGAAAACAAATGAAACATAGATCAAGTTTATAGAGTGGAGTCCTGCTTCCCTCCAAAGCCATAAGTTTAGAAAATAGTAGTCTTCTGGGGAAAGAATGAAGAAATTATTTTCTTATCAAGAGGATTCTGTTATTAGGTGGCAATGCCCTTTGAATCCAAATGGAAATAATCATTTATTTATTTATTTATTTATTTATTTATTTATTTATTTAGAGAGTGCACGCGCACACATGGTTGCTTCCATTCATTCCATTCATTATCCAGCAATTAGCTTTGGAACAGTAACTCATATTGCTATATCAATTTAAAATATACACTGTGCACATGGAACTACTTTAAGATAAGCAAACTGAGTAAGGTATGAGCTACAATGAAATCTCACAAGAGGCAGAATATTAAATGCCCCAAGGAGTTGTTCCAGGAACAATTCCAGGTCCCACCACTCCTCTCTTGACCATCAGAAATATGTCTACAATAGCCTTTACTTTTTACTTCTGGAACTGCAGTTCAGGTCCATAGATGGTAGAGGGAAAAGTGAGGTAATATTTTTCTTGAATTTCTTCATAGCAATTAGTCATGATAGAATCTCCATGTTTAGAGGTAGTATATTTCTCTAATTAGCACACTAAATAAATCTCTCAGGAAGGACTTTTGCCAACATGCTTCTCCAACGCATTTGTCTAGCAACCATTAAAAAGTTGGACTAGGTGAGATTTGGGGTCAAACTGCAAATTATTTTAATAATATAGGATGCAACACTATTTGCCCTTGTGTGCAGTAAAGAGAGCCTTCCCTTCAGTTTTGCAGGACAGATTATAGGAGAGTAGATGCATGTGCATATAAGAGGCAAAGATAAGCTTTCAACAGTTGGAAATACTGGGGGAAGAGATTCAGAAGATCACAGATCAAAGGGTTGTGATGGGGAAGATGCCAAATACATCACAGACAGAATGAAGCAGGAATTCATTGCAAGAACACGGTCTAAAAAAAGGACATGTTCTACCTACTGAAGAAACCCTTATTTCTTTGGAACTTCTGCATTGTTCTAACTGTACTGTACTTATAGGTGAAGCTTCTATCCTAAATTTGTCTTCTCCAAACCTTTGCCTTGTACCTTCTTTTTTAAATTTATTTATCCTACTCCATTAAAGAATTAAAAGATGGTTTAAGTAGGAACATTAAGAACCCTTTATCTGAAGGTACCCTGAGAGGAAATTAAAATGAGATGGGTGAGGAACAAGAGGTTTCAATCTTTTTGACTCAATAAGCATATTTTAAGAATGAGTTATGGATGCCTCCTAAAACATGCTACCATACTGGTACAGGGTGGCTTACCAAAGCTACTAGACCTGAGCTTCAAGCCACTAAATGGCAGAAGAGAATTAAAGTTTTCTGAATCATTCTGCTTCCATCTACTGTCCTTCCAGATTTCTGCAGTCTAGATTTGGCAGCTGCATGGCAAATCACAAAACTTACCTCACCACTCCATCTACCATCCTACGACGTTCTCTACTATCTTAGCTTATTTCTGTCTTTTGGGGGGGGGGGCAGATGAACACAATGCTAAGCAGATCCTTGGGTTGCATCTCACTATCATTTTTTTTCATTTTCTTGATTTGTGTTAGCCCTTCGAGGCAGTCCAGACGAGAAGCACAACTATGAGTACTAGCTCTATCTTTATTGTAAGATTACAGTACATTAACAGAATCTTGCAAGACTGAAAGTATTTCTCCCCTCCTCTCCTTTTGCTCTCCAGAAAACTAGGAAGGGTCCCTTCTGAAATGCTTCTCATGCCCCCTTTCTTCCTTCTACACATTGAGATATATTTTCCATGCCGGTTGTCCAGTGTGTGGCTCTTCCTCCTGTCTCTCAACATCATTCCCACAGACCATTACAAAATGCCTCTGAGGTATAGGCAGGGCCCAGAAGTATTCCTAGAGATGATTATGCTTGAAGTTGATATTTTACTTTCCTGCATGCAAGCTTCCCATTTATTTGTTTTAAAAAATAAAAGAACATTAAAAATAGTATCAGGAGTGGTATGAAAATGGAAATGGCAGGCATCAAGGAAAATGGAAGTGGGGATACTGGCATCTGTGGACATCACACTGGGGACCCAGGGGGTATGGAGTCCTCTTTAGAGAAACAGCTCCATATCTTTGCTGGATCCTTCTACACCGGTGTTTCTCAACCTTGGCAACTTGAAGATGTTCGGACTTCAACTCCCAGAATTCCCCAGCCAGCCATGCTAGTTGGGGAATTCTGGGAGTTGAAGTCCACATATCTTTAAGCCACTAAGGTTGAGAAACACTTTCCTACACAGATAGCCCAGTTCACCTGATCTGACATGCCTACCTTGTTTCTGCAGTTAAAGTGAGAACATTATTCAAGTAGTCTCTCATCCAGGCGGAAACGCATAACACAGTGATGGACATCAACTGAAATAAAACATGGATTTTGTTTAGCAAATACAAGATAGAGCAAGCTTGGTTATTAAAACAGTGTTATGAGCAGCATACTATTGCATTTTTTAAAAAAACTCCCTACTTAATGGCAAAGCAGATGTATCACTAAAGTACAGTCCTCTAAAGTAGTACTCTTCTTCTTTAATTTATTAATACTCTGAAAGAGAAAATTTCTCAATGGAACAATTTCAGTCTTGGTTGGTTTTCCTAGAAGTGCACATCTGAGGGACAAGAATAAGCTTTGAGGTTTTATTTTCTGCTTGTGGTAAGATTCATGCATCCAGCAGAGATTTCATAACAGAAATCCACAAGGTACTGAGATACAAAGCCAGCAGTCTGTGAAAGAAGCTGTCAGTCCCACTATGTGCATGCAATTATGCATGCATAATTTGAAGATTATTTCTGAAAAAGAAGGAAAGCCATTCTTAAGCTAGGTTGTACGGAGAAAAAGTCACACTCGTGTTTGAAGCAAAATAAAGACCGAACTCATGAGAGAAGAGAACTAGATTATGGATGCTGTTTAAAAAAATCAACACTGGTTGTAAGGCTGAAAGTTGGCAAAATCTAAAACCCACAGCTGTGTTATCAGACATGCGTAATGAGCTGCCTACTGAAAACCAGGAATAGACATTAACAGTATAGTTTATTTAGCCCCCTAGGCACAATGGAGATAAAACCCATATCTAGAAGAAAGCAAGAAGCAGATATTCTTAGATTAACTACATCTCCCCTCCACCCTTCCCCAGTGTTTTGCCTAAGAAAAAATAAAAACAAATATATAGGTTTATTTTGAGTCTCTCATGAGCAGTTAAACTGCATCATATTCTATCATGAGCTAGCAAAAGGGTTTTCAACTGTAGCTTCTGATCATTTTGACAATGCAATCCGTGATAACATTTCCACCATCTCTAACAAATGCCACTTGATTCTACTCTTCACTCCCTTCAAATGTAATGCAAATATGAGAAAAGCCGAGTTGATGGGTGAGCAAATATCATAGTTAGCGGCATATATCATAAGTAACTGTCCATAGGACAGAATCCTGTAATATTTGAGACAGGAATGCCAGAAGAGTAAAAGAACAGCTGCAAATGCAGTATGTTCCCTTGGCACGCAGTTGGCTTTCAGCTACGACAGATACCAGATAGAAATATGTAGTCAATGAAGTGCTAGTCCAACTCCACCACTAATTGCCTCTTTCCCTTTTTTCCTTTCATGAAAATGGTGGGCATTTGGTTCAGAAGTTACTGAGGCTCTTTTCCTCTCACCATGCACATGCTGGCAAGATCTGTTTTTTTCTTCTATTGTGTGAAAATATTTACATTCACATACATAACTTAACCCTTGAAATTATGCACAGCTAAATAACACTTTGTATCTGTGGTTTCTAATGCAGTGTGGGCTTGCTTCCCACATATTCTAGACAGGACTGGGGATGGGTCACTCAGAGATGAACAGCACTAGGTCCATAGGCTTTCCTTTTCCAACTTATGTGTAGGTGGCCTTTAGAATTGTGGACTTCAACTCTTAGAATTCTCAGCAGTGGCTATACTGTCTGGGGAATTCTAGGAGTTGAAGTTCACATACCTGGAAGCTGCTTTAAAAAATGGCCCTTAGTAACTCCTTATCTAAAGTTGGCTTGCCACTGGCTTGCCATTATCACCAACTGGCTATTTATCCACTTTGTGTTGGCCCATCTACCCAACCACCAAAGGGAAGCCAAGACAAATGGGAGATTCTCATATTTGGCCACTCTTTGCATGCTAAGAGTGGGTCAGTGAAGAGGCAGCAAGAACAAGGAGGAAGAGAAAGAGCCGTGGCTGAAGAAGCACAGGCATCAGCAGATATCGAACAGTTCTAACCACTGGTAGTTGTCCTGGAAATGAACATGCCCAAAAAGCAGGAATTTAATCTGCCTTACACAATTACTATCATTATTTATGTGATATACATGCTACCCAGCTAACACAAAAATGACTCTGGGCAGCTCACATATAGTTAAAAAACATAAAACAAAAGACCCATAGCAACACATAAAAACCCCACAGCAAAGCATAACTGAAGTGATCACAACATATTCCAATTCAAAATCAGGACAGTCGCTGCCCTCTCATTTTGAGCAGTGAACAAGACCTTGGTCAAACCATGCATCAGAGCCTCAGGAACAATCCCAAGTTCCCTCTGAATCCCCAACGAGTCCATCAGGCACCTGAGGGGGACCAACTGAATAGATCCTTCCTCCCTGCAGTGAGGCATGGCTGCAGAGAACTCCAAGGTCAACGAAGAGTGATCTGGCCATGCATGGTAGTTACTGATATCTTCCCCCAACTCACCATCAAGTTGCCACTGCTCTGAGACAAAAAACGGGTCCTACATGTGACTGCTGGTGCGACTTGGGACCCTGAATGACCTGAGTCAGGTCCACGGTTGCCATGGCAGCCATGAACTCCCAAGCCACCTTGGAAACCTGCTCTGGGGAGACAGGTTAAAATCCCCTGGTACCATCAGTCTGGGGAACTTCACTGCCAACACAGCCACAGCCTCAAGCAGTTCAGGTAAGGAAGCCAATACACAGCAGGGAGGCTGGTACACTAGCAGCAATCCTATCCCTAAAACCCAACCTCACCCAACCCAACCAATCCCTAAAACCCAACCTCACCAGCAGAGCCTTACAATGGGTTATCTCTTAAAACCACCAGGGTCTGATTATTATAGCCACTATTGTGCCCCCCACACTGAAATCACGGCTGGTGCCACACATGAAACCTATGTGGGCACATTTTTGAGCAAGGATCCCCCCCTTGCCCAGCCATGTTTATTATAAGCAGTTGACCCCAGGAAATAGGCCGGACACTGCTCTGGATCTGATTCCAAAATGGTGTCCCTGAATACACAGGATCACAAACACAGTACTATCTTTTCAAGGCAGAATCACAGAACAGCAATCCTCAAATTATTTCCAAAGTGCTGCACAGCCCTAATAAAAGTGTCAAGAAAAATCTAAATGAAACTATTACAGCAACTTCCAAATTATACATTACACTTCAGGCCAAGATGCTATCCTTACAGATCATAGGCATTTCCCAAAAGACTTCAATGAAAATAATTCACTTATTTCACAACTCAGATGGACGAGAGATGATATTCTCAGTGTTCTAAAAATAAATTCTTGAAAAAAAAACCTGCTTCTTTTGAATGTATTTTTGATAATTCTAGTGAACTATATATGAAAACTATACACTGTAGAGCCAGGAAAACATGATGTCACAATCTAAGAAGCAGAGTACATCTCACACTCATTCTATAATCAAATTCCATTACAGGTAGTCCTCGGTTTATGATGGCAATTGGGATCGGAACTGCTGTTGCTAAGTGATACAGTCATAAAGTGCAATGTCACATGACCATGCCACTTAATGACAGCAGCCCCAACAGTCCCCAGTTACCATCGTCAAGCAAGGACCACACAGGTCGTTAAGAACTGTGACTTCGGACTTCCTGCCAGCTTTCTCATTGACTTTGCTGGTGAGAAGCAGGCATGGAAGGTCAGAAATCACAATCACGTGACTGCAGCTCATTGCAATGTCATAATGGTGAGATAGACATCGAGTGTCCAGATTGCAATCATGTGACCGCGGGGATGCTGCGATTGCTGGAACTCCAACGACCAGTTGTAATTACCACTCGTTCAGTGCCAACATAAGTTTGAATGGTTGCTGAACAAGTGGTTATTAAACAAGGACCACCTGTATGTTTTCAAACCTCACCATTAATGCACCAACATTGGCTAATTTTTCCATTAAACAGACACATCTCTATCCTGTTACTTTTCTTTTCTTATTCCATTTCCTAAAGTGATGAATAACCCTCTCAAAGTTGACTTCCCACTGATGATTTCCAAATCTGAAAACAACACTAAATCTCAGATCTAATCGGTCAAGAATACTTGCCATTTAGAACTGGTGTCCTTAATGGGTGACAGACAACAATATTCTATGTCTCCATACACATCTTCAGGCCTGCTATCAGGCTTTGCCCAACCAATATTTGCACTAGAAGGTTCATCAGCAGAGATTCAAGGATATAGATCTTGATAATTGCAGATACTAGAAAAAACATTAATCTGAAGAAAACCAACAATTGCAAACTGAACACTCAAGCTATATATAAAGCAGATTCAAGATTCAAGCTACACAACTGTTCCTGCCTGTAGGTCATAATGGGCTGAGTGCATTCCTTTTTGGCATAAGCAATGGATAACACTGGTGTGCTGTTACTGTCATGGACCAGTCTGGTCTCAGGCGCTTTGTCTACAACCCTACTCAATCTCACACCTACCAGGTTTCTTGTCCACCTGATTTTTAATTTTAGATTCCTTTAATCAAAAACAAAATTAACAGAAAATGGGCATGCTGCAAAGGATCAGATTCCAGCATCATTTTTATTCCTAATAATGGCTCTGGGTACCACTTCTATTCTTAGAAAATGAAAATGGTTGGGAAAGGGATCAGCCACTGATTTTTGTTTTGCTTTTGAAATGTGTTCACCTGCCCCAAAAAGGGACAAAGTAAATTGGGGGTGAAAAGAAAATGGCAGGGAATAATATTAATTTCCCTAGTGAAGAATTAATGTTTTGTTACTGCTATACTCATATAGGAATCAGGAATAGGATGATACCTCT